TGTATCGAGCGCCCGTTCTGGAGTCCCCTCACGAGAAGGCCAGCCTTTCCTCGATCATTTTGTAGATCTTCTGTATGTTGACAGCGTCGGCCTGCAATATACATCAACGGGGCGAGATCATAGAGGCCTCCTGGATGGGGTCGGAGTAGATGGGGTTTGAGGATCGCGCCGCATCGGCGATACGTCGGCGATGCATCGGCGATGCATCGGCGATGCATCGGTGATGCACCGGCGATGCATCGTCGGCGTCGGCAATGCATCGGCGACGTTGACATCAAGCAAATCGGGCCCAACATCGAGCCGCATCGGCGATCCTCCGACCCCATCTACTCCGACCCCATCGAGGAGGCCTAGAGGTCAGCATCCAAGGCAGGTGTGCTGCAATCGCATCAACCTTGCGAATGAGGTGAGACCAAGAGCGTGCACGCAAGTCTGGTATCTTTGTGAGGAGGTGGAAAGTATAGACATGTCCGCACTCCAACGACCTCTCACGTGCGGCAAGTAATCAAAATTCGCACGTGCGAAATGCGATAAGAAAGATCACAAATCTCGGCACATGTCATCAAATCCAGCTGCCATCGACACCCCCACACCTACTCAATACAACCGCAAGAGATATGCCATATATTGCATGAGTAAAGCCAAATGGCCGACGACGTCTGGCCACGAAATGGGGCAAGAAACGCCGAACATGAGAACAGCAAACACGAGACCCGACAGCCCGTCTGCCGTGTGGCCGACTCCAACACGTCTAAATACAACTGCGGGGACCTCTCCAGGAGTCCGACTTGTTCTTCCGCCAGCTTCCGCTGGTTTCCGCCAGAGAAGCCTTCAACTTCATCCTTCCACCGACCCTCCGCCGAGGTCCTCCCCCGATTCCTCGGGAGAGCCCTTCTTGAAACAACGCACGTGGTAGGCCGTGGTACCTCAGACATCCAACGTCGTGGACTTCTTCACGACCTGTGCCCCCCACCCCTAGCCCCGGAGCGAAGACGCTCTGGGCCGAAGACGCCCCACCGCGAGAGGCCGAGACTGCGGAAAAACTGCCCGGCGCAAGGCTTGTCCTGATGCGACGCCGAGGTGCCGCGAGGCACGGAGTGGAGTGTCCTCCGGCCCCTTCTCGAATTCAGTGCCGAAAGTTCTCAGGGCTCCAGGGTACGAATTCCCAGGAGGACTGGGCGCTCCTGGGCGCTACTGGGACGCCACTGGGGGGGTGCGGCGCGTGCCTTTTTGCTCTGCGAGCCCCGGGAGCGTAGAGAGGGGGAGAGAGGGGAGGGGAACGGGGGAGGGCGGCGGTGAGGGAGGGGGAGGAAAGGAGGGAGGGGACGCAGGGTGGGAGGGGGGAAGATGGGGAGGGAGAGGAGGGGAGGGAGGGAGGAAGGTGAGGAGAGAGGGAGGGAAGGAGGGAGGAAGGGGGGGGGCGAGCTCACACGTCCCACGTGTCCTAAGGTGGCCCTCGAGAGGGACGTCCTGGGATGCTCTTGGAGGGCATCTTGGGCCGCCGTGGAGAACCTGGGGGCCGGCCCAAGGTCAAAAACCACTGAAAAACAACGACTTGCCATCGCTCGGACGTGCGTTCCCCGTGCAGTTGTCGGTTTCGTGCATGCTTTGTTGTCAGAGGATCCAGGATAGCCCTCGATGGTCCTCGCCGGGGACAAATCCCCACTTCCGAGCGATGCCAAGACGAATGCTTTCGCGGGGGGGCGCATACAGGCAGCCCCCAAAAGAGGGGCCAGAAGCGTCTAAGCGGCCCCCAAGAGGGGCCCAAGACAGGCGAACTCAAACTGGTACGGAGACCCCAAGATGGCCCCCGAGAGAGCCACAAGCCCCCTGGATGCCCGGAAAAGGCCCCCCCCCCAGCAGAGGAGGGGGAGTCGGTGACTGGCAAGAGGCGTCTCCGATAGAAGACTTGACATCTCTCGCGAGGACATAGCCATAGATGCATCCGCCAGCTTCTGCTGGCCTCTCGTCAGCGTTCGCTGCAATCGGTTCAGGTCCGCCAGCCTCCGCGGGTCTGCAGCCGGCCTCCGCCGAAGAAGAGCTGCCAGCCCCTCGGTCCACCGAAGGCGAAGTCCTGTTGGAAGGTCTCTGGAGCTCCCTCGAGGTCTCGCAGCGGTACCCAAAGGGCTCGGGAGACCTCCAGAGGTTTCCAGAGGGCCTGGACAGAGGCCACTCCTCCCCTGGACGGGGAGTTTGGGGCTCGAGCGACGCGCCTCGCCGACTGGGCAAGAGGCCCCTCCTCCCCTGGACGGGGGGGGTCTTCTTCCTCCTCCTCCTCCTCCTCCTCCTCCTCCTCCTCCTCCTCCTCCTCCTTCTCCTCCTGACGAGTTCTTCATTCTCTTTCCCAAGACACCTCTTCCCTTCGAGGGGTGCCCCTCCCCTCCCCTCCCTGACGTTTCTGTTGGGGGGGGTCCGCGATGTGTCAGAGAGTCCTTTCTCGCTATCCATGGCCCCCCCGTGAGGCCACAATCCTTCCAAAACCTACGGAAAATCAAAGATGTTCACCTTCTCGCCTTTTCGCTTCCGATGCGCTTTGAGCGCCTCAATCTGGCCCCAATATGGCCCAATAGAGCCCTGAGAAGGACCCCCAAACGCGAATTTGAGGCCCCCACAGAGGGAGGGGGCGGAAACTGTAGGACCCCGCGCCGTTGATCGCTAGCATCCAAGATGGCCCTGCGAGTTCCTCAAGGGCTCCCAAGAGGGCCCCGAAAGAGCTCAAATATTGCCGCAAGAGGGCCCCAGGGCACCCTAAGAGGGCCCCAACAGGACCCCAAGACTCCCCAAAAGATCCACGAGGAAATGTGTCTCCTCCTCCTCCTCCTCCTCCTCCTCCTCCTCCTCCTCCTCCTCCTCCTCCCCGTCCATCCCTTCTCCTTATAAATAACCCCTCCCTGTCGCACCCCGAGGCAAGTTTTTAGGGCGGGCCGGGCGTTTCGCCTGAGACGTCTTCACCATGTGTAGCTCTGCAGCTTCAAAGTGGCAACCGTTTCACAGATGGAGGGCGGGTCGCTTTCAAAAGGTGGTCCTCGCCTTAGCACCGCGCACATTCGTTTTAAACAACTTCAAGAGCTTCACGGATTGAGGGCTGGTGGTTTTCAACATGTGGCTTTGGCCTTAGCACCGCGCACATTCGTCTTGACAAATCGCAAGAGCTTCACGCATTAAGGGCGCGTCGTTTTCAAAATGTCGCTCTCGCTTTAGCGCCGCGCACATCCGATTTAGAAATTTGCAAGAGCCTCAAAGATTGAGGGCGGATGGCTTTCAAAATGTGATTCTCGCCGCAGCGCCGCGCACATCCGTTTAACAAATTGCAAGAGTTTCACGGATTGAGGGCGGGTCGTTTTGAAACTGTGGCTCTCGCCTTAGCGCCGCGCACATTCGTGATTGACATATATATATATATATATATGTATATATACACATGTATCTATATAAGTATCAATACACAAAACAACAACAACAACAACAACAACAACAACAACAACAACAACAACAACAACAACAATCATTTAAGACTGGGGACACTCCGTTCTCACCAGTGCCAGGGTTTTCATAGGAGGCAGGCAATACCCCCACTTTGTGGGGGGGCCGGTTCAAGCTCTACCAAATTTCCATACGACTCTTCGCCACCACCCACACCCAGCTTCCCGCCCTATGACGTTCGGACACTTCACTTCGTGGCATGCGGACGACCGTGGCTACTATTCAGGGCCCCGCGGCCGACGACGACGGCGTGCGCGCGCGAAGAAAAAACGAATGTGTCCAATATGGTATTATTTGACAGGGATGATGGCCCTGGCATGCGCGCAACCGTTGTTGCAGAAGTTCGAAGCACGTGAAAAGTTGCTCGCAAGAGCCCGTTTGACAGAAATGTTGAAAAAATATTGGGTTTCCTCAGAAATCCGCAAGAGCGCGCAAGATGATGTTTTGAAACTTTTTTTTTGAAAAACCATTGGGTTTTTCATGTTTTTATGTTAAAATCGCTACGAAAACTAAGGTTTTGGAAGGATTTCATCTTGCGCGCGCGAGTGTGCACTTCGTGTCATTTTTTTGCAAAGGATTCTTGAAGTTTGGTTATGTTAGAACAAGACATGTCATTTTATATTGTTTTTTTTGACAGGGAAAGCGGGCGTCAACAAAACAACCGGATCCGGACTCCCCCGTTTTGCCTGAGACTTCCTCACGAAAATGATGAAAATGTGGCTGCGGCCTAGGCGCGGGGGGGGGGGGCGTGCACCAGGGGGCCCAACAATAATTATTCTTTAGAATTAATCATGTTCAACAACAACAACAACAACAACAACAACAACAACAACAACAACAACAACAACAACAACAACAACAAACCAAAAACACGGGTTCCCATGATCCGGAAGAGCGTGTTCTACCGCTGCTGGCGGAAAACCGGGGGGGGTCACTACCGGTTCGAACCCCTCCCCCCCCCCCCCTCTGGAAAATCGGGGAGGGTCACTACCGGTTCGAAACCCCTCCCCCCACCCCGGAGAAAAAAAAAAGAGAAAGAAAGTTCATATGAAAAAAAAAGGGGGGGGGGTCACTACCCGTTCGAACCCCCCCCCCCCTCGAACTCGAAAACCGGGGGGGGCCACTACCGGTTCGAACCCCCCCCCCCTTCCCCTCGAAAACCGAGGGGTGGTGCGGACAGTGGTGGGGACGGTGGTGGTGGGGACAGTGGTGAGGGGACAACGGGACAGTGGTGGGGACAGTGGGACAGTGGTGGGGACGGTAGTGGTGGGGACAATGGTGAGGACAATGGTGGGAACAGTGGGGACAGTGGGACAGTGGTGGGGACGGTGGTGGTGGGGACAGTGGTGTGGGGACAGTGGGAATGTGGTGGAAACAGTAGGACAGTGGAGGGTACAGTGGTGGTGGGGACAGTGGTGAAGGCGGTGGCGAGGACGGCGGTGGGACAATGGGACAGAGGTACAGTGGGGACAGTGGTGGGGACAGTGGGGACAGTGGTGGGAACAGTGGGACAGCTCAGTGGCACAGCGGAGGAGTCAGTGGGAACAGTTGGGATAGTCGGGCAGTGGTTGGGGCCGTGGAGAAAGTTGGGAGAGTGGAACCGTGGTGGGAACAGTGATGGGGACAGTGGGGATAGTGCGACAGTGGTGGTGGCACTGGTGGGGACAGTAGGAGCGGTGGTGGAACCAGTGGGGACAGTGGTGGTGAGGACAGTGGTGCTGGGAACAACAGTGGGGGATGTGGTGAGGACGAGGACGGTGGTAGGGACCGGGAGTCGTTTGCTGGCGGTGAGAGGGATGGGTGGGGAGGGGTTCGAACCGGTAGTGACCCCCCCTTCCGGTTTTCGAGGGGGAGGTGGGGGGGTTCGAACCGGTAGTGACCCCCCTCGGTTTTCGAGGGGGACGGGGGGGGGGTAGGGGAGGGGGGGGGTTTTGCCAGGGGAACGGGGGGGGGAGGGGTTCCAGGGGGGGGGGGGGGGGGGGGGGGGGGGGGGGATTTTCGGAGGGGGGGGGGGGGGGGGGGGGGGGGGGGGGGGGGGGGGGGGGGGGGGGGAGGGGGGGGGGGGGGGGGGGGGGGGGGGGGGGGGGGGGGGGGGGGGGGTGGGGGGGGGGGGGGGGGGGGGGGGGGGGGTGGGGGGGGGGGGGGGGTGGGGGGGGGGGGGGGGGGGGTGGGGGGGGGGGGGGGGGGGGGGGGGGGGGGGGGGGGGGGGGGGGGGGGGGGGGGGGGGGGGGGGGGGGGGGGGGTGGGGGGGAGGGAGGGGTGGAGGGGGGGGGGTGGGGGGGGGGTGGGGGTGGGGGGGGGGGGGCGGGGGGGGGGGGGGGGGGGAACCCCCGGGTTTCCATGAGAAAAGGGCGGCAATTTTCCACAGTAAAGCGGAGGTGGGTCACGCTCTCTCCATGATCAACATACCAGAAACGGTGTTTGGAAGGATTCTGGATTATGTGGGCGCAACAGTCATGTTGACTCGCTGCGTTGAAGTCCCAAAAACGGCGTTATGGCACGATTCTGGATCGTCAAGACGCAGCAGTTCGGTGTGGCGTTGAAATCCCGAGAACAATGTTTTGGCACGTTTCAGGATATTCAAACTGTTGTCTTCCAGCGAGGCAGCTCCGTCAAAGGAAATGAACCGTTGTAGGGGCCCATGAAGAGGGAGCTTGGAGGGAGGGTGAATTCCAACACCGTTGATGACTATTGGGTTTCCACTGGTCCTCCTGCTCCTCCTCCTCCTCCTCCTCCTCCTCCCCCCTCGCCCCCACCGGGCCCCAGGGCTGGCCCGAAGGGGTCCTCCAATGCCACCCCCGTTGATCCTAGAGATCTCTCTGCTCATCCTCGTTGCCCGCTCGTTTTCACTGTACCCATCGGTCGGAAGAATAAGGTAGAAACATTAAGTAGGAACGCGTTGAAAGTAGATTGGGTTCCGTCCGCCCCCCAAGGAGGACGAAAGAGGTGAAGCCACTCGATCAGCGAAGTAGGAAGGCGCGTAGAGTAGATTGGAATATGGGATTCCAAAAATACCTACTTTCAACGACCGATGGGTATGTGTCTCGTCGTCCCCTCTCCCCCTCAGAACGAGCGCTCTGGTGGGGGGGGGAGGCGCGAAGCGTGCAGACTGGGTGGCTCTGCAGCTCCGAGCCTGCGAAAGGAGCGCCCCACTCGGCTTCGCGCGCGCGCCTCGTTGCGGGCGATGACCCAGCAGGACGAGTCGTCGATCCAGGACAGGCCAACCCACAGGGGCGACCACACCTCGGCGGGCGATCGGGAGGATGGGGAGCCACGAGGGAGGACAGAGGGAGGAGCAGGGAGGAGGGAGGGCGGAGGAGGGAGAGGGGGAAGGAGAGGGGGAGAGAGGGGAGAAGAGGACGGAGGGGCAGCAGCAGGGGGAGGGGATCCCCACCCAACTTCAAATGGAACAGCGGGATCCAAACAGGTGCACACTGACTGGAGGAGGAGGAGGAGGAGGAGGAGGAGGAGAAGGGATGAGGAGAAGGCATGGTGATGAAAGGATGGGGATTGGATAGCGGTTGTGTGGGAGGGGGAGGCGCCCCGTGACTCGACGTGTCTGCGAGTGTCCACCCTGCGGACCGTGGCGCGCCGATCTCCTGCAGCGAGGGCCCCGCCACGCGGCAAGGTTGCACAACAAAGAAACCTCGAACTCGGGCCCCCGCGCGTGCTCTGCCGTCGCCCCCCCATGCCCTTCACCGCCGAACCCCCCTCCTCCTCCTCCTCTTCCTCCTCCTCCCCCTCCATCCTCCTCCGCCTCCCTCTCCTCCTCTCCTCCTTCTCCTCCTCCTCCCATTGCCGTTCACCGCCGAGTCCCACTCCTCCCTCCTCCTTCCTCCTCTCCTCCTCCTCCTCCTCCTCCTCCTCCGCCTCCTCTCACACACACAGAGATTCACCGCCGAACCCCCTCCTCCTCCTCCTCCTCCTCTTCCTCCTCCTCCTCCTCCTCCTCCTCCTCCTCCTCCTCCTCCTCCTCCTCCTGCTCATCCCCCTTTCCCCCACCCCCAGCGAGAAAGTTGGAGATGCCAGCACATCAACAGTGAGAGAAGGAGGAGGATTAAACATGCCAGGAGGGGAGGGAGGAAGAGGGATTGTGTTGGACATCCACTGCATAGTTCTTCTGGCCACCGGGAATAGATTGCACGCCCCGTCTGGGGAGGCGGCCCTAGAAATACATGTGAGATCGAGGACCAGGACCAGAGGGCTCCAACCTCTAGACAGGCCACGAAGCTAGCTTGCGGTTCTGACTGGGAAGTGTCGAACATTGCATACCGTTGTCAGTACATACAGTGGCTCCCACCCCCTGCTTGCTGCAATGAGGGCGACGGCCCTTGCAAGGAGCCTGCCAACCGTAGCGCGCAGCACGCGAAGGAGGGGTGATCCATCCAGACCCGAACCTCGAATGGAGGCACCCGGGCTGTGGCATTCACATGTACGGCAAACGAAAGGGCCTGCTCCCTCGGAGCGGTCGAAGGCGACACCGCGATGTCCTAGCGCATCTTGCTCTGAGGCGTGCAAACGCGAGCCACCTGTACGGTTGCTTCGGGGAGGCACCTCGAAGGACCTCCTTACCCTTAAGTCGGGCGTGTCCCCCTACACGGGGGTTGTCGACGAAAAATAAGGAATACTCCAAGAATACTCCAAAATTGTCAAAAAGTGCTCAAATAGCCCCCTGACTATGTTTGGACTATCTTTTGACTGTTTTTGGGGTATGTTTTATTTCTTCGTCGACAATCCCCCTGGAGGGGGACACGCCCGACGTAACCCTACCCCTCGCGCAGGACGCACACACACCCGGACCCCCGACCACCGCTCCCAACGAGGAGCCGGGCCGGGGCCCTCCGCCGATCCGGCAGACCTCTGGCGGGGCAACACGTGCACCCAGAAGGATGTTTGAGCCTGGGCCAAAGAGGCGGCACAGCACAGGGCAGGTTTTAACACATAGGATTCTTTAACGTATAGGATGTGTAATACATGATCAACGCATGGATAAATTTATGCATGAACTCCTCTTTGTTTTTAATACTACACCCCTGCATTTTTAACGCATGATCCGCACGCGGGGCATGTATTAAAAACGGCACTGTAGCAGCGAGAGCACAAACCGACCCCTGGCGATCCACATCTGACGGCTGGGCCGGGCAATCTCTTCATTGGACGCCACAGGGTGCAGAGCGACACCTAGCTTGGCCGCCACGTCAACTTCATCATCTCCCGTGCGTCTCCAGCGTTCGCAGGCCGTGTGCTCTAACCATCTCGACCCACCGAACGAACTCCGAGTCGAGACGATACAACAGCATGGGGGCCGCGAAGTGCCGCGCGTAGCTAATCTGCACAACTGTGCTGCTGGCACGCGGCTCAATAACATGTTCGCAATCGCTGTCAAAGGTGGTCGTACCTGATAACTCTGCACACTCGGAGGTATGAATGAAAAGCGCATGGACAGAAAGACTCACACTCCTGCCCCCCTGGTCGTTGAGAAGTGCGAGACCATAACCAGCCCTGCTTGGACAATTCAGCTATGTGATGCCTGTGGCAGCTCCCATCTACAAAAGTGCTTCCTTCGAGTGCGCCACCGTTCTGGGTCCCTGGCCCGCCCCAGAAGAAGTCACCAGGACTGGGCAGATCACCTCACAGAACAAAAACTAACTTCGGGGTCGGATATGTCTGCGTCAGCAGCTTCCGAGATGATACCTGGCTTGACTGACTCATCCCTCAACGAAGCGACTGCAAGGCAAGAGCATGCCCACTGCCAGTGAAACACTGTGTCCACTACCTGCCCGCACAACGGGCACACATCCTCGACTGGCTGGTATCCTGCCTCGATCGCCCTCGAATGAGTCCAGAGCGCCACACACGTTAAGCTGCGAGTCGATCCTTTTCATTTGGCCGAGATACGAGACGAACGAAAACAGTTCTTGACCGCGTCAGAACACAGCCTGTTACACTGGACGCCATGCTTGGATGCGGATCCCCTTCCCAGGGAACGCGTGGCAGCGTGCTGGAGCGTTTTCTTAAGCATGGCAGGTGGGATTGACGCAAGCTGCAGCGACTTCCCGATATCATTCACACATGTCACAACATCAATCCTGCTCCACGATATTCTGTCGAAGGAGGAGCCGCATGGCCGCCATAGGTCCTCCTGCCTGCCTCCATATGGGTGCTTGGGAAAAACGGAGCCCCGTCCATCACGAAGCTGATCACATGCCAATGAATAAGGATAAGAGCCTGTGAGCATCGCCCACACCTCCACAACATATCTGACGATGGGCCCCAGCGCGCCGTACCAGACTGGATCATCGTTACAGATAGACGTAAAAGCGAGAGCCCTGGCCTGATCTCCTGCACGCATACCCGTCGGTCGCAAGAAGTATGAGGTCGGGCCTGCCTCCCTACAGGGGGATTCTGGGCAACAAAAAAAAATCACAAAAACAAAAAGTCAAAAACTATTCAAAAAAAAACGTCCCCTGGCTATATGTTTGGACTAGTATTTGAATACTCTTCCTGTAGAGGGACAGGCCCGACTTAAAAGAAGTAGGAACAAACATGAAGCAGGAAGGCGTTGGAAGCAGGTTGGATCTCCGCCCCCCGAAGAGGACGGAAGGAGGAAACCGCCCGATCGTTGAAGTAGGAAGGCGCCCAAAGTATACTGGGACCTGTGAACCCAAACATACCGACTTTCAAGGACAGGCGTGTAACCTTCCTGGCCTGCTTCATGATCTTGATAAGCTCAAAATCAAAAAGCCCAGGAACCTCAGCCCCTTACCCCCGGGGGCACCCCAGTGACCCAAATATTCTTACTGTGCTTAGCTAAGCTACGACTTATCTTGACAAGCTTCTCGGTCGTTTGCTTGAGGTGCTCAACCCTGAAAAGTAGAAGACGAGGATGATGAGGATGATGAGGAGGAGGAGGAGGAAGTGTGCCTTCCTTATCCAGCCCCACCCCCAGCCCCCTCCTCTCGCCCCCTCCTACAAAATGAGCCCATCCCGTCATGTCACCGGAGTAGACATGCCCTCCCTCCCCCTTCCAGCGGAGCGCGAGCCTTCATCAGATCCCACTTCTTCCAGCTGGGTGGGTAGCCCGACATGAGGAAATGCCTACTCATGTCGGCCTGGCAGGACAGGGAGCGGCGCAGAGGCAGGCATGGGCGCAGGATACATCGACAAACAATAGAACAGACTGGAGAGAGGAAAACGGAAAATGGCAGGAGGATTGTGAGAAGCGCTGCTTGATGCTCCAGAGGAGCAACCACTCATGCGAGAGTGTGACCGAGCGGCTGCACGTCGATCGGAAGAAGTAGGCAATCATGAAGTAGGAAGGCCGCTAAAGTAGATTGGTCTCAGGCCCTCTCAGAGAATAACAAAAAGCAGCAAAAGCATGCCGATTCTTGAAGTAGGAAGGCACCAGAAGTAGGCTGGGATCTGGACTTCCAAAAATACCTACTTTGAAAGACTGCGTGTAAGGGGACGGACTCGAAATCCATCGAGCTCTGCCCACAGGGGTCCGAACTCCCTCGCCGTCGAAATCTGGAGCTCCCGGACTCTGGCCATGGGAGCCCCGAGGAAAGACGGGGCTGTGACGCCAACCCCGCGGCGCACCCCTTCAGGTCCAGCCGTTCCTCCTCCTCCTCCTCCTCCTCTTCCTCCTCCTCCTCCTCCTCCTCCTCCACCTCACCTCCCCCTCCCCCTCCCCTCCTTCCTCCTCCTCCCTCCTCTCCTCCTCCCTCATCCTCCCCTCCTCTCCTGCTCCTACCTCCTACTTCCTCATCCTCCTCCTCCTCTCCTCTCCTTCATCCTCCTCCTCATTAATCCTCCCCCTCCCCCTTCAACCCCTCTCCTTCACCCCATCCTCCTCCTCCTTCACAATTACTCAATCTGAAAACTACTCTCCACAATTACTCAATATGAATACTACTCTCCCTTTTCCCCTGATGACGTCTTTTGCGTATTCGCCTCCCCCCGCGTACTGTTTTTTTCACACACACACACACACACACACACACACATACACACACACACACACACACGATTCCCCGGAGTTGGGTTTTCGCCTGCGCTTTTTTCAAAATGCTGCTCTCGCTGCGGCGCCGGCCTCATTTCTGCTCCCGAATCGTTCCGAATCGTGCTCCCACTGCAGCGTGGGCCTCATTTTCGGATCGGTGTTTTGCCTCCGTCGTTCAGGATGGCGTTCTCGCCCCAGCGCGGGCCTCTTTCTCGCGCGCCCATCCGCCCGCCACCTCCGCGCCGCACCACGCCCCGCCCTGCCGCACGCACACCCACCGCCACTTCCACCCACCAACGCACGCACGCACGCACGCGCACCACCACCGCGCACCGCCACCACCACCGCACTACCCACCCTACCCCCCCTACCCACCCTACCCCACCACGCCTACACCGCGTCACACACATCACCACGCGCGCGCGCACAGACACACCTACGCACGCACGCACACACGCACGCACGCACGCACGCACGCGCAAACACACACACACACACACTTACACACACACACACACACACACACACACACACACACACACACACACACACACACACACACACACACACACACACACACACACACACCGCCGCCACCACCACCGCCATCACGCACGTACGCACCTGGCCCACCACCAAACCACCAAGACGCCACACCACGTCACACCACAGCACACGCGCACACACGCACCCACACACACACACATACACACCACCACCAGAACAACCACAACCACGCACACACGCACGCACGCACGCACGCGCACCACCACCCACTACGCACACGCGCGCGGAGCCACAGGTCCGCTACGACACGCGTCCGCGGATAGAGAAAATCAGCGCCTTGGTAAGGGATGGGAGGGAGGGGTAGGATGTCAGATGTTGACGCGAGCGCACCTAAACTTCATATGATTACTACTCTCCCTCTTCCCCTGATGGCGTCTTGGGAATATTCGCCCCCCCCCCCCCCGGGTACTGTTTTTTTACACACAGGTTTCCCCGGAGTTGGGTTTTCGCCTGCATTTTTTTCAAAAATGCTGCTCTCGCTGAGGCGCCGGCCTCAGTTTCGGGCCCCGCTCGTTCCGAATCGTGCTCTCGCTGCAGCGCTGGCATCATTTCCGCTGGCGCCCGGCCGAGCCGGCGCCCGGGCCGGCGCTCGGGCCGGGTCTGGAGCCGGTTCCGGCCGGCGCCGGAAAATCGAGTTCCGAGGCGGCGCCGAAAAAAGGCCATTCTAATACATATTGTTCTTTTGAAAACGCTGAATTTCTGCCTTCCCCGGAGTTAGGTTTTCGCTTGAATTTTTTCCCAAAATGCTGCTCTCGCTGAGGCGCTGGCCTCATTTTCGGGCCCCGCTCGTTCCGAATCGTGCTCCCGCTGCAGCGCTGGCCTCATTTCCGTGCTTCGTGCTCCCGCTGCAGCGCTGGCGTCATTTCCCGTGCCATGCCACGGCATGCAATGCAATGCTAGGTTGATACTACGCGTCGCGGTGCTCTTCTACGCCATGCCATGCCGTGCTCTACAATGCATCGCGTACCCTTTCGGGATCATCGCCCTGCTTGACATCCGACTGTGCGAGTAGAGAGGGGATCTGCGCCATGGTAAGGGTTGGGAGGGAGGGGTAGGATGTCAGATATGACGCGAGCGCACCTAGCTTGTCCTCCTCCTCCTCCTCCTCCTCCCCCCCTCCCCCCCCTCCCTCCTCCCCCTCCCCCTCCTCCCCCTCCTCCCCCTCCTCCTCCTCCTCCTCCTCCTCCTCCTCCCCCTCCTCCTCCTCCTGCTGCTGGCGACCTGCAGCCGCTGGTGACACGGTCGGGGACTCCTGCTCAGCGTGCCGGGGCGGCGGCTCCAGCGGCACCCTGTGCCCTGCGAGCTGCCATAGCGTGTCGCTCCGCTCCGCGGGGGCGGGAGGAAGAGAGCTCGAGGCGCTGACGCCTGGGGACCGCGACGCGGAGAGCGAGTCGCACCGAACCGTGGTGGGCCAAGATCATCGGCTCGACACGCGGCCCAAGAGTTCCCAACCGTAGCAACTTTCCCGGGGGGCCCTCTCGCGGGGCCGAACTCCAACAGCGGACCCCCAAATTTCCAGGACACTTCCGGCGCATCCAGGCGACTCCTGCCAGCGAGACCTTCGGAGGCTGAAAACATTGAAAAATTGTAGAAAGATAAAGCAGGGAGACAATCAAAGTGGATTGGGCTTCGGCCCGACCCAAAAAGAAAGGCAAAGGGAGATCGACCAAATGCCTGCTCTCACCGAACGGCCTGTAGAATAAAAAACTAGACTCTTGCTCTCGAGGCGGTGCGGCTTCAGATAGGCGCAGGAAGACTTATGGCCCGGAAGCCTCACGAGGCCCCCAAGAAGACCCAAGTCAGCTCCTCCTCCTCCTCCTCCTCCTCCTCCTCCTCCTCCTCCTCCTCCTCCTGGCGACCTGCAGACGCTCACGAGGCCCCCAAGAAGACCCAAGTCAGCTCGACAGTCCCCCAGGACGGCCCAAGAGGGCCCAAGGCGGCGCGCCGAAGATGGCCCCCGAGCCCCCCGGCGGGCCCCGAGGAGGCCCAACTGAGGCCCTCGAGAGGCCCGAGAAGGCTGGGGCCCCCGATGTAACCCTGAAGACCCATAAGGTACAGGGCAGTTGTTAGTACATGTGATTTGAAATATAAAATCATGTAAAAGTTTAATGCATGATTAATGTATGAATAAATGTATGCATGAACTCATCGTTGTTTTAAAAACTACATCCCTGCATGTTTGATACATGATCCGCACGCGGAGCATTATTAAAAACGGCACTGTACCAAAGAAGACGCCAAGAGAACACCAAGAGGGAACGCAATGGCCAAGCAAAGCGTAAGCGGCTACGCGCTCCAGCAGCGCAGTTTGGACCCACGAACACAACGGCCGACTGCCACATCAATCACCAATCACGCATCACTTAGAACGTGTTTCAGGATGAGTTGGTAACGCACACGCACGAGGCTGCGAACCCACACCTGCGATGAACCCCACTCGCCTCCGAGAGGAACAGCAACATCCGGTCATCGCCGCCACCATGCAGCGCCACGGTTGTGTAACGCACAACGCGCCCCTTCTGGACAAAACATCTCCAGGGAGCGGCCCGTCTTGCGCTACAGACGTCCTCGACATCATCCCTGGTTCGTTGTGGAGCGGTTCCTGGAGGGTCATTGGCGTTCAGAAGGTTTCAGGTATCTGTGTTGACGATTCTACGGGGTGCTCAGGGGGGTGTTCTACGGGGCTCCAGGGGGTCCTAGGACGGAGGAGGGGAAAGCAGTGGGAGATGGGGAACAGCAACGGGGGCGAGGACGCAGAGAACGGGGAAGGGGACAGGGAGTGCAAATAAGGCTGGTCATTGGCTGCGGGCTCCTCATCGCTTTTGCCTTCGCGCCCCCCCCTCCCCCCCGACATCGCACGGCTCTGGGCAGTGGACGAAGGGGCCAGGGCCTCGTCACGGCCGCTGAGGTTCACGACGCTCGGCTGAGCGCGCACCAGCCGTATCCTGAGTCTCGTCGCGATCGTGGTGGTGGTCGTCGTCGTGGCGGTCATCGTCGTCGTCCTCCTCCTCCTCCTCCCTCCTTCTCCTCCTCCTCCTCCTCCTTCTCCTCCTCCTCCTCCTCATCATCATCAGCATTCTCCACCTCCTCCTTCTCCTTCTCGTCGTCACCGCCATCGTCATTGTCATCATCACCATCAGTATCATCAGCATCCTCATCATCATCACCACCACCATATCAATATCCATCATCATCAGCAGCATCATCATCATCATCAGCATCATCATCATCATCATCATCATCATCAGCAGCATCATCATCATCAGCATCATCATCAGCTTCATCATCATCAGCAGCACCCTCATCATCATCAGCATCGTCAGCATTAGCATCGTCATCATCATTATCATCGTCATCATCATCAGCAGCATCATCATCACAATCCTCATCGTCATCATCATCATCAGCAGCAGCAGCAGCATCAGCATCATCACCACCACCACCACCACCACCATCATCATCATCATCATCATCCCCATCACCACCACCATCACTCTCTTGGGCCTTGGCTTCCCCACCCCCTCTCTCGCGCCCACGGCCAGGCGCGTCCAGGAGAAGGCGGGCGCCGAGATGGCGCCCAGGAGCGGCCGCGAAGCTGCGCCGGAGGGCGGCTGGGCGGCTGGGCGGCTGGGCGGGTCCTGGACGCGGAGGGGACGTCTGCGGCGACGTTCGAGGAGCTGCGCGGTGTCTGCAGGCTCGTGGCCCGGCCGCGCGGCGGCGGACCGGACGTCTGCCGCGGAGTTGAGGGGGTCAGACACTGGCATAGACGGAGAGGCTCGGAGGCCCGCGCGGATTTCCTGGGTCGGCACTGGAGTCCCCCAGCGGCGCCTCCGGCGCCGCCCCTGGCGCGCTCCGCGCGCGTCAGGGAGGGGGTCGGTCCAGCGCCGATCCAAGAAATCCGCGCGGACCTCCGAATCTTTCTGTTCATTCCATTGATTGTTCCCAGAGAACGGGCAACGGCACCGCCGGCTGAAGCAGAGCCACAGCCCACGGCTGAGGATGCGCGCCAGCGGGGGGGAAGAGCGGAGGACGGGCGGAGAAGCCGCCATGCGCGTGGTCCAAGAGGGGGCACCGTCACCGCCAGTTCGTGCTGTCTGGGGGGCTGGAGTTGCGCGTGCGGTGCCGCGTGCCTGGGGTTAGGTCAGGCATGTCCTCCTACAGGCGGATGTTGGAAGAAAAATGATGCAAAAAAAAACAAATGCTACAAATAGTGAAAAATACTACGGAAATCATCCCCAGACTATTTGTTGACTATTTTTGAGTATTCCTCCTGTAGAGGGACATGCCCGACTTAAGCCTGCTCAATCACCTCAAACGCAGGATCCAGCTCACCAGGCGGGCGCTGGCAGCTGGGGGCGGCGACTTTGTTTCGGGGTGACGCGCCACGGAAAGCACGGAGAACCAGGCGGTTGGCAGACAGGGGCCCAGGCCTCGTACCTTGCACTCTCGGAATGCACGGACCCCTGAGCTATCGAACCCTGCCCCAGGGGCTGGCGTTGCGTCCCAGCCTGCTTGCTGTTTTTTCGTAAACGGCCCCATGAGGCCGAGAATGACGACAAACCTCCTTCTAGAGTGGTGCCAGAAATCGTCGGTCTGGCACCCGGCAGTGGGAAGACAGGATACGGGGTGGAGGCAGAGCGAGCCCAACTGCTCTCACTTCTACTTCGTCGTGTGGCCCGAAGATTCCTCGAGGATGTTGTTCCCACTCTTCTCTGCGGTCTCCCCTTCTGCCCTCTTGCCAGTACTCCCATCCTCGCACAATTCGCAGCCACCCTCAGACAGAGGAACCCAAAGCAAAGCGGCGTAACATGAGTATTCTGAGGTCTGGGCGGATTTCTGCATCTGCACTGGTCCCCCCCTCCCTGCCGCGAGGAGCGCGCCAGGGGCTGCGCCGGAGGCGCCGCCAGGGGGTCCCAGCACCGATCCCAGAGATCTGGCGCAAGAGGGGCCCAGCGCAGCCCATGGCTCGCTCCGCGCGGCAGGGAGGGGGGCACCAGCGCAGACCCAAGAAATCCATGCTTCTTCGCTTTGACCAGATAGAGGTCTGAGAGAACCCTTCCCTCTTCTGAATGCCTCCCGCCTGACTTCAAAGGTGGAAGGCGCGAGGGTCGTGAAGGCATCCAACGCGAGCGACGGTACCTCATTCAGCCAGTACTCCAAAGCTTACGCCTCGAGTGCAGGATGGAGGTGGGAGGAGGAGGAAGACGCGGATGAGAAGGAGAAGGGGGTGGAAAGGAAAGGAGGGACGAGAAGGGCAAGGACAAGAACAAGGATGAGGAGAAGGACGACGCAGAGGAGAGGGAGGAGGAGGAAGAGGAGCAGGTGTGAAGGTCAGTAATTCGGCCGTCCACAAAGTGGAGGCGCCTGTGGCCGACGCGCCTGACCTCTCCCTCGGCCAGCGATTCCTCAGGGAAGGGAATGGCCTGGCCGACGAGGCCGCCAAGCTTGGGGCAGACACGCGCCCCAAGCCTTCTCATGCCGAGCCGGGCATGGTAGAGTGGCAGCTGAAGATACAGTCGAGGCCAGTCCACAAGAAACCTTCCACAAGAATCCCAACCCTGAGACCCCAGGACGTCAATTGATTTTTGGTGTGGGAACGTCACGCTCTCCATGGCAAAACAATCGAAACCCAAGAAACCCAGGGCACCCTGGAGGCAAGCAGGGTGTTGCTTGGCATGGGTCTCCACTGGACGCATCTCAAAATATCTCACGCCTCGCGGCCAAGCCTGTTCCGTCCTGATCGAAGCTCGATTGAAGGAGATGCCGTTCGTGTCCCCTGCTCGGCCGCTCCGCCCTGTCGGCGAGGCGGCGCCTGCAGAGCATCACTGGGTCTGGAGGCGCCACTGTCTGGCGTCGTGAGGCATGCCTGACGACTCGCAGGCAGGCGGCGCGTGCCTGCAGCGCAGGATGCGCCAACGAACTGCCTCCAGTGGCTCGCGCAGTGAACGAGGAAGACAGGTCTGTCTGGCCCAAGAACGCTCTGACAGCATATCCTAAGCCACGCGCATGCGATGCAACATTTGTTCCCCCCCAAAGCCAGTTCAAGAAACTCTGGTCGGAATGTCCGCGTCGTCCGACTGCCAAGGCGCGGGAGTACAGGTCGTCCAGGGTCAAGCGAGACCTCCACCCAGAAAAGCCAAACCTCAAGGTGGCGGCCATTCGAATCGAAGAGAACTGTGCAGCAAGGCCATCGTCAAAACCAACATACCCCATCGCCTCCACCCCTCTCTCCTTCTTTCCGAAAGCCTCGTCTTTCAAGTCCTCCGCCTCCTCATAATCATCATCATCAGCAGCAGCATCAGCATCATTATCATCAGCATCATCATCAGCATCATACTCAGAATCCTCCTCCTCATCATCATCATCATCATCATGATCATCGTCATCATCAGCATCATCATCACCACCACCACCATCATCATCATCATCAACAGCATCCTCATCTTCATCCTCACCTTCTTCATCATCATCATCATCATCATCATCATCATCATCATCATCATCATCCTCATCCTCATCATCATCATCATCATCATCATCATCATCATCATCATCATCGTCATCATCATCATCATCAGCATCATCATCATCATCATCATCATCATCATCATCATCATCATCATCCTCATCATCATCATCATAAGCATCATCATTATCATTATCATCATCCTCATCCTCATCTTCATCCTCATCCTCATCATCACCAGCATCATCAGCATCATCAGTATCATCAGCATCGTCATCATCATCAGCATCATCATCATGTTCAGCATCATTATCAACAGCAGCAGCACCAGCATCAGCATCAGCATCATCAGCACCATCATCACCGTGGTCATTAACATCATGTTCACGTCATTATCACGATCAGCATCATCATCAGCAGCATCATCAGCAGCATCATCAGCATCATCATCAGCATCAGCATCGGCATCATCAAAATCATCAGCATCTGCATTGTCATTCTCATCATCCTGCTAACGCCATTATCACGATCAGCATCATCAGATTCGTCTCCATCATCATCGTCATCGTCGTCGTTATCGTCGTCGTTACAATCACGTCATCCTTATCGTTGTCGCCATCATCCGCATCCTCAAAAACAACCAAAACAACCACGATCACAATCATCAACAGCAGCGACAGCATCAGTGATATCACCATTGTCATCATCATCGTTAATTGTCAGCAGCAACATCAGCATACGCACCCGCATCCGCATCATCGTCATCATAAGCATCGTGATCACCATCCGCAGAATCGCCATCATCATCGAAATCGTCATCATCATCAACAGCAGCAGCATCGGCAGAATCATCAGCACCATCATGATCATTGCCATCATCGCCAATACTGCCATCATCATCATCTGCATCATCCTCATCAGCAGCAGCATCATCAGCGACATCGCCATCGCCGTCGTTATCGCCATCACCATCAATAACAATTGCTGTATCGTCATCATCATTTTTTTTGCTTTTTTTTTTTTTTTTTGTTTTTCGTCATCATCATCATCTGTATCATCATCATGTGCCTCCTCCGTTCATCCCATCGTCCTCCACCTCTTCCTCCTCCTCCTGCACCGCCTCCTCCTCCTCGGCTTCCTCAACACCCCTCCATCTTTTCATTAAAACCCTCTCCTCCTGGCCGTTCGCCCTTCTCCAGCTCCCTCCATCCGTCCATGAATCCGTCCATTCCCCCTCCTCATCCACGCATCCTTCTCCAACTCATGCTCACACTACTGGCAGGTCCGTCTGCCGAGACCGGCAACATGTATTATTCCTCCTCGCAGTCATCCTCCACCTCCTCTTTCTCCACCTCCTCCTCCTCCTTCTCCACCTCGTCATCCTCCTCGTCATCCTCCTCGTCGTCTTCCTTTCCCTCGGAGGTCCGTCTTCCTCAGACAGCGACTTCGCACCCGTCCAGGGGCCAAACTTTACGAGCATGT